GTTTAGGAGCCCATGATAATCCTAGAAGGCGCAATACTCACCAATATCTGGTGAGTGCGGTGGATGTTGGTTTTTTCACTGGTGGATGGTGGAAGTATTATTTTTGGCACTAAAGAATTTTTATTTATTTCTTCAATTGGAATCTACATATTTTTGGACACTTTATTATGGGCAACACATTTTTTAATATTCACATATGGATATAAATGAATATTTTTTTTTTGTCACATTATTTTATGTATAATTTTATGAGGTGGTGATCTGCGCTGATTATTGTTTTTTCTCTTTTGCACTCTGTAGGTTGTTTTCAATTTGCTCGGCCTTTATTTACTTTTTGCATATTCTGTTATATTCTTTGTAATGTTTAAATGATGATAGCATTCCTTCATTTATATATTTAATAAAAGCTCTTTTCTTATTATCCATAGCTTTTTTAACTTTGGCTGTAAGCCTCATAGGTTTGATTTTTAGCCTTTCAAATGTGTTGCCCATGGGAATATATTTTGCAATGTGTTCACATACAGTCTTTTTGAAGAACTTCTATTTCTGTGTTGTGTTCATCGATGCCAATATTCCCTCCCAGTCTAAGTCTTGGAGAGCAGTTCTCAGCCTTGAAAAATTATCTCTCTTAAAATTTAGCATTTTTATTTTTCCCATATATACATGCTGTTTACAGATAACAATAAATTAAATCATGTTATGGTCACTGCTACCCAGATGATCTTTTATATGGACATTCGTAATAAGCTCTGCATGGTTTCAGATTACCAAGTCCAGCAGAGTATCATTCCTAGTTGGGGCCTTTATGAACTGTACAATAAAACTGTCCTGTAGTAGGTTTATAAATTTTTGCCCTGTAACTGTTCCTGCAGTACCATTACTCCAGTCAATTTCTGGGTAGTTAAAATCCCCCATTATTATCACTGTATCAGTCCTTACAGCCCTTTCGATCTGTGCAAGGAGCTGAGCCTCCACCTCCTCATTAACATTGGGAGGCCTATAATAAACTCCAATGATTACTTTTGTAGTTCGGACCGCCATGTGCAATTCCACTCACAATGCTTCAGCCTGATCACACTCTCCATCAACTAGGTTCTCTTTCACACTCATTCTGAAATCAGTTCTCACATAGAGACAGACACCATCACCTTTCCTTTTTACCTTGTCTCTCCGAAAGAGAACATAGCCAGGAATATTAATGGCCCAGTCATGTGAAGAATGAAGCCAAGATTTAGCAATACCAATTAAATCATAGTTCTGTGCATGCACCAAAGCTTCCAACTCACCTATTTTACTTTGCAGACTTCTGGCATTGGTGAAAAAACACTTTAATTCATGTGTTAACTTGGGTTGTATACCCTAAACCCTTTATTCTTGTGGTCTGCCCTTTTGAACAAGACTAGGCTGGCGCTACATATAAACAATTTAACATTATAAATTACAGTGGTTGTAAAAGCAGAAGGTATTTTACCTTACTGCATTATATGCAGTAATATAAAAAATATTTTGCACTCAGCTCCCCCACAGCCCCATCTAAGTACATACCTGAGCTCGATTCCAATCCAGAAAGGCTCTCTCAGCTCTCTCGCTCCTCATTGGCTCTGATACAGCAGAAGGGAGAGGGGGCAGGGCCAAGCCAGAGCAGGGCTCAGGAGCAAGCAGCTTGCTCTGGGGAACTTGGTGGGGAGGAGGAGCCATGAGCGAAAGCAGAGGACCCAAGAAGAGGACCATCGAGGCTGCTCTTTGCAAAACCATTGCACAGAGCAAGTAAGTATAACATGTTTGTTATTTTAATTAAAAAACACCATAGTGCCCATAAATATAAATAGTAATAAAAATAATAATAGAGCAAAATAAAAACCTGGAATATAAAACATTGCAATCATGTATTTCTGATATTTCTGTTTTAAAAGGGCAAATCGATTAGGCATAGGAATGGGTGGGTGGAATATATGTTGTCCCTGAAGTTGATGGGTTGAAAGCAGAAAAATAGGCAAGCGTAAGGATTTTAGCAACTTTGACGAGGACCAAACTGTAATAGCTAGATGACTGGGTCAGGCTAACTCCAAAACTTCAGTTCTTGTGAGATGTTCCTGGGCTTTAGTGGTCAGGACCTACCAAAAGTGGTCCAAGGAAGGCAAATCAGTGAACTGGCAACAAGGACATAGGTGGCCAAAGCTCATTGCTGCACATGTGGAGCAAAGGTTGGCACGTGTAGTCTAAACCAATAGGAGAGCCACTGTAGTTCAGTTTGCTGAAAAAGGTGAATATGGTTCTGATATAAAGGTGTCAGAACACACAGCGTGTTGCAGCTTGTTGTGTATAGGGCTGCATAGCTACAGACCAGTCAGGGTTCCCATGCTGACCCCTGTCCACAGCTGAAAGTGCCTACAAAGGGCACATAAGCATGAACTGGACCAAAGAACAATGGAAGAAGGTGGCCTGGTCTGTTGAATTCAAGAATGGTTTGGGAAACCCAACAACAAGTTTGAGGTGTTGACTTTGCCTCCAAATTCTCAAGATCTCAATCCAATCAAGCATCTGTGGGATGTGCTGGAAAAAATCCATGAAGACTCCAACAAGCATATTACAGGACCTAAAGAGTAACTCCACTTTTGATGAGAAAAAAAATCCATTTGTGGTGATTTATGTATAAGGCAAGGATTTTAACAAACTTTCTTGCAGATTTATACCTTTTGTTACTCTGAAGAGAAAGCTCTTTGTGTCTATGTGCCAAGTGAATGTTCCCATGTTGACCAGTGGCAAAAGTTCCTACAATGGGCACATAAGCACCAGAACTGGATCAAAGAACAATGAAAGAAGGTGTTGTTGGACCCACTTCCAAACTACTGATACTTACCTTGGCTTGCTGAGGGATTGAACGAGAAAGATTTGGAGACACCGAAGGCCTCTAGAACTTTCACCTCGGCAATAACTCCATTACCGGTCATTCACTGAATTATATCGCTAATTAAAAAGATGAATTAGATACAGCCAGGCTGTTACGAATAGATGTAACTGGTTTGGTTATGCTTATTTAAATATGAACCTCATCATCCAACCACTTCCCCCCCCCTCTCTTTTTTTTTTTTTTTTTCTCTCCATCTCTCTCTCCCCACTCCCCCCTTCTATTTGTCATGTGCGTCTCCTCCCACCTCATTTTGATATCTCATCCCATATTCTTCCTCCATCCCCACGCTCCTCTCTTTCTTTTCTTTTCTTTCTCTCATTTACACCCTCTTTTCTCATAGTCTAATTAGCTATTATTCTCATTCGGTACGGAACACCCATAGCTATACAGATGTAACAATATTCTACAACAGTAACCCACATTTTTTTTGAGATGGAAATATATGTCATAGATGCCTTGAGAGGATACTTTTGACGACCACTTCAGAATCCGCTTATGTATACTTTCCTTACATAGAGCCTAGTGTATACCATAATTATCTAAAGTACATGCTACTGTCAGTATTGCTATGGTTACGTCTATCACTTTTGCCTTACTGTGGAACTCCGTCCTCTGATGTTCTACAAATTAATATATTGTCTTGATCCCGTCTGCGTTACGGGAGAACGTACTAGAAACTTTGCACGGACTGCGATCTGTATCTGTCTATCATTTGTTTACCTTTCATACTTCAATAAAACGTTTTTTTTTTGGAAAAAAAAAAAAAAAAATGAAAGAAGGTGGCCTGGTCTGTTGAATTCAAGAATGGTTTGGGAAACCCAACAACAAGTTTGAGGTGTTGACTTGGCCTCCAAATTCTCTAGATCTCAATCCAATCAAGCATCTGTGGGATGTGCTGGAAAAACCCATGAAGGCTCCAACAAGCAAATTACGGGACCTAAAGAGTAACTCCACTTTTGTTGAGAAAAAAAATCCATTCTGGGTGATTTATGTACAATGCAAGGATTTTAACAAATGTTCTTGCAGATTCATACCTTTTGTTATTCTGAAGAGAGATCTGTTTGTTTGTCTGTGTCCATGTGCAAAGTGTATGTGAATGGGAGCGCTTATAATTTTTAATTAGCTGCTGCACTTTCAGGGTTCTAATGAGGAAAGTAGCAGGGTCTGAATCCCTTTAGATGTGATTAACCCTTTGGGAGTATCTCACCAATAATTGAAATGTTTGTTGCAGAGGATGTGATGATCCAAAATCTGATTTTTAGATGAGCCAATCATACAAGTAGGAAATTAAATTTCTGTAAGGGGGGTGTTCTGTACACGATTTGTGTACAGAATACCTCCAGGTTGCCTTATCACATTGCATTTTCCTGTGCTGTAGATTGAAAAGGAAAGGTAGTTTTTATTAATGCAATTGTATTTACTATATATATATATATATATATATATATACATACTGTATATATATATATATATATATATATATTTTTTTTTTTAATGTATGATATTTTTTCCCACAAAAGAGGAGTTACCCTTTAAAGGATCTGCTACTGGAGGCTTTGTGCCAGATATCACAGCATACCTTTAGAGGTCTAGTGGAGTGCATGCCTAGCCATGTCCCACCCATAGGTAGGATGTCAGATGATGTCCTGGACTTGAAGTGGAGATATTAGGATGATCAGGCATCATCCTGGTATATTTCTTTTCAGCCAACGATTTGCTTAATTGTAAAAGCCATCCTACTGGCTGATTAGTTTCTAGATTGCTTTTACGGGCAGAAGGAGGGGACGTACACCGGCCCTGCCCACTGGCTCCTTTCCAGGCTCTCTTGTGCAATCGGGGAGCCTGGTATCTAATCCAGCGATGCCGTTGGGTCATCTTAGAACTGACCGTGGACCGGATGGTTCCCAGTCATCTCTATGGTCCTGGGAGGCTGGAAGTGACGTCAAGATGTGACTTCCAGTTCTGGCAGATGTAAACACTGCCATTTTTTTCCCTGGATAGCAGAGATCAATGTTTTTTTTTTAATCTCATGCTTTCAAGGGTAGAAGGGATATCTGCAGTCTTTTTGAACTCAGATGTCTCCATGAAGAGGACCTGTCATACCCAGGGGCAGACTGACAACTCATGGGGCCCCTGGGCAATAGGGGATCATGGGGCCCCTAGGTCCTTGCCCAAATTAAAAAAAGCCTATGAAAAAGGTACCAGGGGCATCTCATGGGGTCCCCTACTGACCCCGGGCCCTCGGGCAGTGCCCGAGTTTCCAAATGGTCAGTCCGCCCCTGATCATACCTTACTCTTATCACAAGGGATGTTTACTTATATTTTTTTGTAAAAAAAAATATAATAATGTTCTTGCGCACAGTGGTGAATGCATATGTAGGCAGCTCCAGCATATGTAAACATTGTTCACACCACACATGTGAGGTATCACCACGAACATTATAGCAATAGTTCTAGCTCTAGACCTCCTCTATAACTTCAAACTGGTAACGTATAAACATTTTTAAAGTGTCACCTACCGTAGTTTGGCACCATACCATAAGCATGCACAATTTTAAAGTATGACATGTTAGGTATCTATTTACTCAGCATAACATCGTCTTTTTTATTTTACCAAAAACATGGGTTATATATTGTGTTTTTTTGCATTTCATTAAAGCGTATTTTTTTCCAAACACCCACCATTTTATTCTCTAGGGCCTCTGTGTGTATATATATATATATATATATATATATATATATATATATATATATATAATGTTTGAGAGTTGTGAATAATTTTCTAGCAAAAAAATTATTTTTTTACGTGTAGAAGAGAAATGCCAATATTGGCCTGGGTGAGAAGTAGCTAGACAGGTTATGGTGGGTAATCATAATGTTATGGCTGATGTATATTTACTTCAAATCAAATTTGTCACACATAATGCAAGATTACAGCACATGGCATCATAGAACATTCTAAACACAGTAAATAAAGCTCTTCTTTTTTATGTTCTATCATGAAATTACCATATTAGCCTATTTTTATTTTATTTTATCTATTTTTCTATTAAGTATTGGACTTTATGTTAGAAATTTTAGTTTCTGTTTATTTGACTTGCTAGGTGATCCGTTTGTGAGTCAAAACTCCTTCAATATGATATTTTTTCAAAAAGCAAAGACCCAAGCTCCAGCATAGAAATCTCACCTAATGAGGCTGAGAAATACAGTTTTAGAAGGCAGTCATAAAATATATATAAGCCATATTGGGTTTCCCTATTCTATGCAAATTAAAAATCATACAAATAAAACTAAAAACAATAATTGGAGTTCTGCTTTAAAACAACTCTGTTTCCAAACATTACAGTTTAACACAAGTGGTCCATGTAAATAAGAGTAAACACCTGTCCTGCAACTTTTTCCTGAATTGTAAACCTGTAGTGACATAGGCGCAGGCAGGAGGAACTACACCGAGTTGGGGGGGGCAGGAATCTGCCACTCCCAGAAGTGTCAGAGTCAAAAGATTCTTTAAGTGACAATTTCTCAAGAATAAAGGAGTGGTTGGTGGTTTGTTCAACAGGAAACTTGGTTGTTAAACACCATATGTTAAACCTAATAATATAATGGTTTAAGGGAACGTGTAGTATTTTTTCTAGATCTTTTCTTTATTATGTTATTAAGTAATGTTAAAAAATAGGTAATTGAATATACAGTATATTGAAAATATTTTCTAAAAACATATTTTAAAGGATATTTCACCTTCGGGAACATGTTACATGTTCCACCCATTTTTAGGGTGGAACATGTAACATGTTCTCATAGCCGCAGCTGCCGCCCCCCCCCCTCTGACAGATAGTAAGAGGAGAAGTCTCCCCATACTATCTGTCAAATTTGAAAACAGCGTGACTCTGTGGGGCTCCGCCCACACGGCTGCATCATTCATTCACGGGCCTCCGTGAATGAGTGAACTGCTAGTCCCAACAGCCTTAGCAGCTGTTGCCTTGTAGTTTTCAGTGAACTACCACAGCACTGTGGAGTGCCGTGGTAGTTCATTGAAGCTTCCTGTCAGAATATCTGCTGACCTATACATCCTGTATGGCAAGCAGATATTCTGACAGGTCTGCAGGAGACCTGCATGGCATCAGTGATCTACTGATCACTGGTGCAATGGTTTCTAGGCTCCTGTAGACATAAATAATAAATGCACATTTTTTTACGTGCAAAAAAATGGACATTTATTATTTTTGTCTAAAAGGTGAACTTATCCTTTAACCTTTTTTATTAAATAAAATATACATTTTTATATGTAGCATTACCCCCTCAGCGGCCGCTGAGTAATTGTCAGGTTCCCTGTCTATGTTGACCCAGCTTTGGAAACCCAACCCCTGCTGACACTCTGGCTGCAACCATTAAATTTGACCCACACACAATTTAGAGTATACTAAAATTTTGGTTGCATTGAGATCAAATGTAGGCACAGTAAAGCAACAAGAAAATATGTGCATAAGATAACAGCTGTCACTCTAGTAACTTCAAGTAAAGGTCAAAACATAGCACAATCTCAATCAGTTCTAGAGGTCCTGCAATTCAGAATTTTATCGATAGACCCAGTCCTGAGATGTTTCTTCCCTAGTGAGTCAAAACAACCTACCAAGCAGAAAGGCTAACTCACTTTGGGCTCTCAGTGGATGAGGGCTGAGTCCAATTCTAAGGAAAAGAAGAGCTCTTCAATTAAATAGACTAATGTCCCTTTAATTGCAGTGTCTGATCTTCTGCTCACTTGATGGGGCCCTAGTTGGTGCACATAAGGATTCAAATCCTCCTTTAGGCAAATGGTAAAAGTTCCTTAATAAAGGGTGAACACAAAGGAAAGGACCTGTCCCCTTAGTTGATATTGCATTCAAATAGTATCGCTTTGGCACACACAGGATGAAGTGTGAAATTTTACAGGAAGTAGAAATGCACAAAATACACTTCTGTAGAGTTGGGTTCCTCCTTAGGCCACAGTGGCAAATTACAGCAATGCAGGAGCTCCTTGGCGAATGGGCAGACTGTAATGAGAGCAATAATACAGTTCAGCCTGCAGATGGCAGATAGTCCTCTTCCTGTCCTCCTATTCCCTGGCTTCTGTATTTATCTTCCCCCACCCATCCACCAGCTCCTCTGGGAAATATAGTTTGCTAGCTCCATGTCAGTCAGTGAAGTCCTGAAAATCAGGCTACGAATCCCACATAGCTTTTTTTTAATATTTTTTATATTCATACAATATAGTATTAGTAAGCATTTACCCCACCATTTAGCTGGGGTTAAAATTGGGGTTTAAGGCATTAGCATCAGAGGTAGACTTGGATATATACTGAATCTTGGTGAGATGTAGGAAATGGCGAAGGGGTATTGAACAAGGGGGGATAAGGAGGAGGGTAGGGAGAGGGGGGTAAATGTAATGGAGTAGAAAAGGAGTACCAGTCTAAAATGGGTGGGTAGCTCAATTGTTTGTAAAATATCAGGATTGTACTGAGCAGTTAGGATTTTGTAACCAGCTAGTCCATTGGGAATTAAATTTGTGTTGGGTGGAGTTGTTAAAGGCCGATCTTTTTTCCATTTAACATTGGAAATTAAGATCTGTAATTTGAGGGAAGGAGTAATGGTGGTGTTCCATAATCGGGTTATATTTATTTTTGCTGCGAAAAGTGTGTGGACAATGGTAGTACGAGAATTAGAGGGGAATTTTTCAATCCCAGTGTGTAAAAGCACGAGTGAAGGATTTGGGGTTATCACTGTTTTGGATATTTCAGAGATTAATTGGAAGACACTGTTCCTAAAGGATTTGATTGATTTACAAGACCATAATATGTGTAGTGTTGAGCCTACGTCTCCGCATTGTCGCCAACAAGAGGAGGAGTGTTTTGGGTAATAAATGGCTAGTTTGACAGGGGTTAGGATTTTTAAGTATGATTCCCAGTGCGAGCTGCATCGGGAGGATTTGTAGGTAGTGTTAAATGTTTTGTTCCATGTCTGTGCCGTAATTGTTTCTGAAAGGGTTTTTTCCCAATTGGATAGGGAGGTAGATTTTAGAGCGAATTGCAGGTTCATTATGTACTTGTAAAAGTGGAGATGCCTTTACCTGGGTATTGTGGTTTGGTAAAGAAAAGATAGGTGGTATTTGGAATCTTTGTGGTATGAGGTATATTTTTTGTTTGCATACAGTGGGCGATTCTTAAGTAGGTGAAATATTCAGTGGTAGGGAGATTGAATTTGGTTTGGAGATTCTGAAATAAGTGTAGGGTGTGGTCTTTATAGAGGTCTGTTATATTATGTATGTTTCGTTTTTCCCATTGAGATAGATCCAGAGAGGGTGTAATGGAATGTAGTATGTCAATTGGGGTAAGGATTTATTTGGGATTTGTGTATTCCGTGGTCAGAAGATCGCACCAGGCTTGAACAGCGGCTTGGATACATGGGTGTTTAAGTTGGTAGTTTGTTTGTGACATTGATAGAATTAGAAGTAAATTTTGGGGTTTAAGTGGAAGAAAGGGTAAGGTTTCCATTGTAGACCAGATTTTTTCTCTCTGATTGGGTTCCACCAAAAATATATTTGGTCCAGAAGAGTAGCATTATAGTAGGATTTTAGATGAGGGAGGTCTGCGCCTCCTTTGGAAGATGGCCGTATTAAGAGATTGGTGGTGCATCTAGGTTTCTTAGAGTTCCATAAGAATCTGGCGAGAATTGATTGTAATTTGGAGAAATAGGTGTTAGGAACTGGTATGGGAAGTGTGCGAAAAATGTATAGAATTTTTGGTAGGATGTACATTTTCAATTTTTGCAACTCGGCCTAATTTGGAGAGTTCTGAGGTGCGAAGGGTGGCAATTTCTTGGGGTATAGTTTCGAGTAGTATTTTGTGATTTGAGGTGAATAGTTGGTCTGTTGTTGCGGTGAGTTTGATTCCTTTTTCCAAAAAAGATTTTTATTAGAAAAAAGCAGACAGAACAATACATATACAGACGTGAATCCAAAGTTGGACATGGCACTGTATGTCGCCTCCCGTGTCACAAACTGGTCAAATCATAACAGGCAATACAAAACATAACGTTGTAAAACATTGTGTCAACATAATATTACAATCCAGGAAATGTACGTCATATAAGAAGTGAGCAGAGAGATATATTGTCTTTTGACCTTTGAGCAAGATTTTCTGTCAGGGAAGTGTGAAGTATGTGATATTGAATATGAACAGCACATGCTAAAGCTTTAGATCTGTTTCGTGTGTCCAAGAATTGGATGTGTGAGTGATATGGGGCGTAGTACGTCTGTTTGAAGGATAGCGTTCTGTATCGGTTATGGTACGAAAACGAAGATATGAGTAGGATATAGGTGGGAGCTGTGAGTTTGATTCCTAAATAGGGGATGTTGTTTTTTTTCCCAGGGGAAGGGGAATTGTTTGGCAAGTAGTATCTGGGTTTGGTATGGTGTGTGGAGATTTAGGATTGAAGATTTGGGTTTATTAAGTTTATAGTAAGAAACCGTCGAGTACTGTTGAAGGTGCGTGCGTATCGTTTTGAGGGATCTGGTTGGGTTGGTAATCATCATGATGTCGTCTGCAAATAGACTAATTTTGTGTTCAGTGTTAAGGTGTTTGATGCCAGTGAACATCGGGTCGTCCCTAAGTTTAGAGGCTAAGGGTTCAATAAGCAATGCAAATATGATAGGAAAATAGTGGGCAGCCTTGTCTAGTACCACTGGTGATATTGAAAGGGTCTGATAATGTTCTGTCTATTAGTACTCTGGCTGAGGGGAGGGAGTATAGTGATAAGATGGCTGTTAACATCCATCCTGTAATACCAAATTTCTGTAGGGTCAATCGCATAAATAGCCAATGTATTCGGTCGAATGCTTTTTCTGCGTCTAAGGATAAGAGTAATGAGGGTTGCTTAGTGTGTTCTAAGTGGTGAAGAAGAGATATAAGTCTTCTGACAGCGTCAGGTGCTTGGCGGCCTGGTATGAATCCTACTTGGTCTGGGTGTATCAAGGTAGGAAGATAGGGAAGTAATCTGTGAGCTATAAT